CAAAACCTAAAAGTGCATTCATTCAACCAATTCCAACATAGCAACCGGGAGAGTATAACGGCCACTTTCAACAACTCTATTAAAGTTCGCCGCTGGCCAAGTCGAAGCAAATACAAGAAAAGTAAGATACCAAGATCAAATGTTATTACGTATTTCCTGTGTTCTCAAGGGAAAAAGTTAAATAAAATACAAGACATATGGAAGGTTATTACAACGTTGGGTCGTTACTTGTTACTTGAAAAGGCTGCTTTCAAGAACTAGCTACTGATACAAAATTGTTGTTGCAGGTACAGATTCAATCAGTATTCTGACCCCCTATTCTCTAGTTTTCAACAAAAATGCTTTGCATGATCAAAGTGCTTGATCTCAACCTTTTTTTAACTTCAGTTCCCTCAAGAACTAACTTATGAGAATGATGTAGAATTCTAATTACAGGCTTAGAAGTCTGAATGATATAAACAAACCAGGCTTGAATGAGTGATCGGAGTACGGCAAAGAGGGCATTCAGGCTTTTCATTGCACCATTCCATGATGCAGTTCCTGCAGACAGTATTTGAATAGCAGATTAGAATAACTGACTGCAAACAAGAGAAAGGTGAAGTGGGAGAAAATAATGAAAGAAGTTTGACGATAATGAGATAGTTGTACCAGCAGAATGCATGACCACAAGGTGTAGCTGTTGGATGTTGGCGAGTACTCAAGCACAAGGTGCATTTGCTGACCACACTTGTTGACTGAATCAAACCAAGTGGTTGCGCAGTTCATTATTTACCACAAGTTATTAAGATATAAAGAATGAAAATAGTAACATAGTTCCAGAGAGTTGTCTAGGAAGGCTGGGAATCAGATTTAGGAGTTTGTTCATTAAATGAGAAAACAGGACACAAAGACCACGTACCTCTGAAGTTGGTTCTGAAGCCCAACTACCCTTCTCTGGTTCCAAAGATATCAAATTCCCTTCTTCATTTAACACGGGCAAACCTCGCCCTACAATACCCAGAAAAAAATTTGTCAAACAGCAGCGTAACTGATCTCTCTCATGTAGCCCTTGTCCGAAAAGAGGGTAGCCAATGGTGGAGCCACGCTGAGACCGGGGGGGCCTATGGTCTTTTGAAAAATCTTTCAGTTGGTCATCAAATTTTGTATTTTAGGAATTTTATCTTTAAATTTTATTTTGTTCACCTAATTATACTTAATATTTATGAAATAATTATCATTGCTTTTTTTTTTTTAATTGTAAATTTTGTTATTAAATTTAAAGTAAAATGTTGACATAACAATTAGCAACTCTTTGAGGCTAATCTATTAACTATAAAAGTGACCCTTCAATCTCTAATATTTTTGGCCAAAAAATTAGTAAGAAAATCTTTAAATTTTTAACATTTCTCTGTCCTTCCTAAAAAAATCTTAAATCATCACCTTTGTAGTGCCTAAAATAAGTCTAAAATATTCATTGTAATTACTAATAATATTTATTTTTTTTTCTTGATCAAATATTAAAATTTCACCTCTAATTCAAATTTTTTTATTAAGTAAAATTTGTTTATTTTATTTTATCATTTGCTATGTAAATTTTTTATATGTTTCTAAATTTATTACATTTTTTAGTTGTGTTTTATTATATACTTTTTCCGCACAAATATAACCAGACATTTATTCACTAATTACCAAAATTTTTGAATGACAATATATTTCACATTGAATATGGCCAAGTTTGATTTTATGGACAAGTTTACAGCTTTACAATTTTGTGTTACCCCCTTTGGTCCTTCTTAATTATCCAATTTCATCAACTTTATGTTAATTAACTTAATGATTTTATATAAACATTTTTTTTTTTTTTTTTTTTTGTATCCAAGTGAAATTATTCAACAAACACTATGTTGTGGGAAAAGAAGTTTTCAATTGCCATCTCTATTTGTTAAATAAAATCATCAAATCAAACTTAATGCAAAAGTGAAATTAACACAATTGAAACAGACTAAAGAAAATAATACTTTTGACAAAATTGATTTAAATGTCGACAAACTGGCCCCCCCTCCCCTGATCTCAAATCCTGGCTCCACCACAGAGGGTAGCCAATATATCTTCATGATATATTGCAATGCTTAAAACATTTTCTGTTGTCAGCTATTTCTGAAAGTATCATAAATCTGAGATATAATACCTGCTGAAATTTGGTGAGACCCTATGGAGGCCGGGTGAATTGAACTTGCAATTGAAGATAAGTTACTCCGTCGCAAGCCTTCAGCAGCAATGATGCATAGCTGAATTAAAAGGAATACACCCAGTATTTGATACCTGTAATAGGAGTAAAAATAGCTAAAAGATATAGCACGGAAATATTTGAGCATCAACAAATTGGCATCCAGTTCCTTGGACCATTTTAAGCCCCAAATATGGAAAAGAGAAGCATGGATAAAAATGACCAAGGAAATCTACCTGGGCCTCTGATTCGATGGTTTTCCAATGAATACATAACGGATGCCGGCTGCACGTTTTGATATATGATAATAGAGACCTGAAGGGGAAAATAAAAGCCATTATTTAATAAAATTTTGTCATCAAAACTTGTTTAAGGTTCCACCATAGTGTGTCCTTTTGACACCACCTTCAAAGTAGAAGAACATGAGGTTAGCACGTAGAACCAATTGCAAAACTTCACGAGCCATGGGCAGCATCTGTATGTAATACCACAGAACAGAACTTGATGATGGACTAATAAAGAGAAAACCAATAATGAAGTGTCAAAAAAGGACCCAAGAAAATAGCAAATAAATAAATATAAATAGAAATAACATGACTTCATCCTAAGCATACATGCAGGAGAAAATTAGGAAGCATGACATCTAGAAAATAGGCATACCGTTGGCCATCTCCGAACTACATGCAACCATAGTCCATTCAGCTTCTCTTTCAACCTTGAGACTGCAAAAACTGATGTCCTTGATTCAGAGGAAGATGGAATTTCAGTTCTTGTGGACAACTGGACCTGACTATCTTCAGGAGCATTGTTACTGTACAGATCATCAGTCTGTGACTCAGAAAGGGTTATGGCTTGGGATGCAACTCTAGAACTGCAAAAGGTGACAATTCAAAGTTCTCGCACTTCAATGATGCTTTGGAATCTTTAATACAGAAAACAAATTCTTGAAAGATAAAATGGACAAAGAAATGGAAAGATCTTGAACCTAATTCTTTCTGCAATATAAGGAACTGCTGTCTGAAAGACAATGAATAGAGCACGTCTAGCCGGTGTTGGTGAAAGGCCATGAGGTCCTGCAACCTATATCAAGGGCAGAAAGCCCAAAGCAAGATTTCAAGGCATGCCATTTTGTATAGAAACTAAGTATTATCAAAATACCAATGACGGATTAAACTTTACAAACTTCATGTGATTTTAAGTTTCAAAACATGAAACCAACATCTCCAAGAAAGATAAAGGAAAAAATTAATAAAAGCACAGCTTCAAGACCACATGATATTTTATAACTCAGGAATTGGATGGCTCAAAACACTCATAGACTATAGATGAGAATCAAAATAAATCCTCCAAACCTGGGTTATATCACAGTATTCTTCCCCCAGCGTTTGCTGCCCAGAACCTGTTGTCAAGACATAATAAAGCATTTGTCCCAGAAGTCTTGCCTGCATAAATAAACAAAAAGCAAACATGAAAACCAACCTAATCTGATCATCTGGCAAACAATTTGTTATCCGTATGAAAAGAACTAACCTCATTCTGGTAAGCCACTGCGATTCTCGCACCTATGCTAACACAGACAGAGGTTCAGTGAGAGTGAGAAAGAGAAGTATTTGCAAATGAGAAGTATTTCTTTCTTTGAAAAATGAAAATTTTCACATAATTCTTGTAGCGATTTGGAAATTCTGAATTGGGATTTTAACTTTTAAGCAAACAATAACAGTTGAGGAACATGCTTAACCATGAGAAAGCAGGAATTTAATCATGAAAATTGGAGTGCCACTGAATTTTGGGAGTCGAATAGAGAAAGAAAGAAAGAATACCAAAAAGATGGCGAAAGGCATCGCGGCAGGCATCGTAAACGAAAGAAGCATATTGGTCGTCCTTCTCCGCCGCCCTCATGATCTCCGGCTGTGCTGCCGACGGAAAGCGCCGTGGACCCGTCGAAGTTGATGGACCCGCATCCGCATCGTGGCCGGAATCGGCCGACGTAGATGCGTTGGTTCTACCAAAACCCATATCTGTATCTCTGTGCGTGTGGGTGTTCAATGGGACTGAAAAGCTGAAAGAGTATGAAGAGCAAAAAAATAAAATAAAATAAATGACAACTTCGCCGCTGCCGGGGATCGAACCCGGGTCGCCCGCGTGACAGGCGGGAATACTCACCACTATACTACAACGACGTTGATGCTCAGTGGTTCTGATAAAACACAAATTAAACTAATAGAAAAGTTTTAAAAGAAAAAAAAAATTAACGAAGGGTTTGTGGGCAGTGCGATAAATATATATATATTTGGATAAATACAAGTATTATTACTTAGCAATCTGCCTCATTACATAAAGTTTTGGATAGAGAATCAACCCAAACACCCTTCCAAGGTGACGATGGTGACAAAAGATGAGCTAGTTTGTGAGCCAACTCATTACAACTTCTCTTAACATGCTTAATGCTGAGAAAATCAAAGCTAGACTTTCTTGCTCGGAGATCCGCAATGATAGTTTTGAAAGGCAAATAACAGTCTTTAGAGGAGTTTGTAATAGCAACAGCTTGGACACTGTCAAATTCAAATTCAATTTCAATTTTTTTGCAACCAAATTCCTTCCCAAATTGCAATGCAAACTCTATGGCCATAACCTCTGCTTGAAGAATCGTCCCTTGAAAAGTGCACGTTCGTAACCCAGCCCCTAAAACTATTCTTTCACTGTTCCATAAGACTACTCCCAAGCCGGTGGTGTTTTGGTTTTGTAGGATAGCAGCATATGTGTCAGCTGCTGTAGTGTACTCTTTGATATATTTGGAGATCCACGTGACAATAAAATCTGGTTTGGAGCTACTAGACTGAAAGAGGCAACGGTTTCGGTTGTTCAATATGCACCATAATGTAACAGCAATCCATTCCTTCTGCTCTCTGTTGAGCTTAAGAAAGGAGTTCAAGAAGTCATCAAGATACTCTTCAGGCTTGATGTTGCCAATAACAAAGAAAGGACAAGAACCTACGCAAACTTGCTTGCTCCAATGACAGGCGAAAAAAATATGGTAAGGGTATTCCTCCGCCTGTTTACATATGCAACAAGATCTAGCACAATCCACGCCCCGATTCTGCAAAACCAGTCTAGTTGGTAAAATTTCCCAAATGAATTTCCAAAGAAAGTGCTTGACCTTTGGCACCGTATCCATATGGCATACAGCGGTCCATACCGGCTTCATAAGCTCATTGTACTCACCAAGACTCGATCCATAGACAAAATCGTTCTATAAAAATTCAAGACAACAAGAAAGCAAGAAAACGATAGCGATCGATTAACTTTAATTTTCCATTATCATTCCCATCGAGGAAAAAAAAAAGGTTATCTATCATCATTAATCCGAGCTTAATGTGTCATTAATGAAACTAACATGTCCCTTTAGTATAATTTATTTAAGGCATCTTTGTCTTTCGAAACAAGTTCAGACCCAAAAACACTGCACCATGGTTTTTAATTTTTCTTTTCTTGTTTTTTGGGTTGGATAGGAGTGTGCCGCTTGGATTTTTTTTTTTTTTTGTTGGGACAATAAAATATCCTTAAATACCATAGTAAATAAAGACTAATTCATCTCAACCAATCTTAATAGTTCACTCCACGGTCAAATAGTACAAATGAGAAGCACATTTTTTAAACATGGGTATAGTTTTTTATTTTTTATTTTACCTTAAAGAAAAATTTGTTGATTAATGTGGGAGGAAAGCATAAGCACATCAAGATATAATCACCATATATCAGCCCTAACATGATCCTGGGCACACAAGGGAACATCACGAACCCAAATTTGCTAGCTCATTATGAAATCTTATGTTTCCATTTTGCTTCGACGGGCAGACTGCCTGACTTTGGTCACTTGTCTTGTAGAGCATCATCCTGACCAAAAGATTAACAACTTAGTACAAAGTAGATGGAAGTTTATTGGGTTGTCATTATAAAAGTATCAAGTACAGGCACATATGTGCACCTCGTTGATAAAGAAACTATCATCTACAGAACTAGACCATTCATTCCAGCTACCCTCCTTCCATATCTACAGATAAGATTAAAGATGACTTCCATCATTGTCTAAAATGCAAAATGGGCTAACAAGTCCTAGGCTCCTAGCTTTTAGGTCAAATAGATGAAGCAAGGAGAATGAATGGATGGGGGAAGTTGCATTACCGTAAAAACTTGCCAACGAATTCGCCTATTTAATCAAAAAGATGGGCAACCAAATTGGTTGATGGAAACTTGATAAAAGTAATTTTCCAGAGTATATCAATTAGCATGCCATAAATAAATATGCAACCAATAAGAAGATAATAAAATTTGTTAGGTGAGAATTTCTAACCCATACTACTTTCATTTCATACATGCATTACACTTGTCCATGGCGTGGACAAACTGGTTTTGAGCAATCAAACTCCAATAATGTAAATATCTTGCTAAATTCCTGCAACATACCAAAATATTTGCATAATATCATTATGGCATCAATGCCATAAATGCGACTATTGACTCACCACACTGCCATATAGGAGATGATGGAAAAGGTCCCTCTTTTGGAGGCTGGAGGTGGTAATTCTCCACATGCACCTAAGGCCAAGGTTGATCTTACATATCATTGTAATGTCATTTGGAAAAAGGAAAATCTTATTCTACCTCCTTGGAAGATCTTAGATGAGCATGCCAGCTAAACAAGAAGAAATGTATAAGCAAAAGCAAGCCAAGTGCTATGGAAACAAATTACTATAGCAAAAATGCAGTTTCTGCCATGGAAGCAGTCCCTCATTTCCATTATGGTATAGTTCTCCAATTAACAGATCAACCTAGAGACAAAACATAAAGTCTTAACTTCTTTAAAATCAACTCATAAGTGATGCTTTGGAGATATAAGTTGCATACCTGCATATATATATATATATATATATGTATGTATATTATAAGCATATTGCAAAACCAGAACAAGATTGAGTTTTTAACACTAGTACAAAGGTAACTAGAAACAACCCTTATTCCTTCTCTTTTTCTTTTTCAGATATTGTGCCTGAGGTATACCCTACAAGACTTTTCTAGACCAAAACAATACGAGTAAAGAACAGTGATATTCAGAAACTAGGTCAAAAACATATGAGCAAAAAGTACTGTTTAGAAGTATTTACCTTCTTATGTTGAGTATCCTTTTTCATATTTTCTATAAAATTTACACAATTCATTGAGAAATCATTTCCACTAGCAACAACTTCAATATATTATGCACCCTTCTACCTTAGTCTAGGAAACAAGCATATCGCATGTGATGTTTTTGAAAGATTTACAGCAACAAGTGTTAGAAAAATGATATTATTGGCAACAACAACAAACAATGGTCTCTCCCCTCCATACAACTACAATGAATATTGTTTACATAACAAGGGTGCTAGACCAAAAGAGTAGGAAAATATGTAGCCTAGAAAAAGTAGCAGTAATCAAAAACTTTGAGAATAGCCTTAATTAACCATGAAATCTTCGAGGTGAGCACAAAAGGACGATTGCTTCAACATGAAAGGGGGAAACTGTTAACAAGGTACAGGTGGAGTATGTCAAAAGACTTAAAACAGAGAGAGATCTTACAGCATTTCTTATAGATATCAACATTGGCAATGTCCAAGTATGTTATCGAAATATTTCAACTCTTTTAGTTGGTGGTATGAGTTGAAAATCCCCAAATTTATTACATGCTGCCTTATGTTAGCCCTTAAGACTTGGATCTTCAGGTTCTATGAGACACTAGTGTCAATATGAATAGCCTCAAAAATTGAGGGAGGAACCAAACACATTGTTCTCAATAGTCACACCTAATGGAGCGTCAAAAAATCATAGAGATAATGCTTAAAAATCTCAACAATATGGTAAGTGGGAATATTTTAAATTTTCCAACTTCTCCTAAAGGAATTCACATTCAACTTGTTTGTTCACAGAATATAACTTCAAAAACAAACAAGATATTCCCAATGTTTTCAAATATATTTCAGAACTTAAATATGCCTATTAGTGAAAACTGTATATGTGGAACTAACCTATGTTGCTTGGTGAACTTATCCATTGAGGAGCACTGGAATAAATTATGCATGTCATCCCATGTTTTTGAATGATTTGCTAAAAGTCTTTAGAAGTGTGATTAATATAGTTACAAGCTTAATTTCTTTCTTCATTGCAACATAGTGCATTGGATATTGGTGTGTTTTGACACCTAATGGTATCCAAGAAAGCACGAAGAAGATGCATGTCATCCAAGTTTTTGAATGATTACTATGTAAATCATGTAGCTTCGACATGCACATGCTTTCAACGAGCTAAAGAAGGAAGAGGGAAAGTAAAATAAGGATAAATGCAACAATGTGAATTTCTAATCCTCTTTTAACCTAAAAGGGATCGAATAATAGATAGAACAAAATGCCAAGAACAAAAAATAACAGATAAATCACAAAACCACCAACAGCAGCAGAAAGGTATGAAACTATCCACTATATCAACCACCTAAAGAAGGGGGGAGAGT